CCCTGTTCAAGTAATGCCAGCTTGGCTTTCAAGTGATATTAACACAGGGGGCCATTGGTGGGGAGGGAGGGAGGTTGTGCGCTGTTCTGAGATTGCAACAAAGCTTTTGGTGACCTTGACTGTGATAAGAGACCTGGTATTTGATTAGGGAGTGAGAGGTGGGGTGCCAAAAAAGCATTAGAATCAACACAGAGGAGTGCTCTTTTCCTGGAGTATTTGCAAATGCTTCATCCTAATTGAGTTTGCAAACAGCTCTAACTCTCTTAAGGGTGGGAGAGCGTTTGTTCTTTGAGAAATGACGGCCTGAAAATCAGAGCTCTGAGAATTACACAAACACACTTTTACTTTTTTTTTTTAATTGAAGTTACCTTAGACAGTTGGGCTGCCACAGTACAAACTGTGGGGATGCATATGCTGCCCCTTAAGTCACCTTAAGAGAGTGTATGGGTGCAGGTCAGCATTTCAAAAGAACAAAAAATGCATCATTTCTAAGATGAGGCATTTTTTTACCTCAGTATCCTGGGTGCTTATTATTCAAGCTGAGATATAATATCAGAATCCGTTAATTGCATCTGTGGCTGATACAATAACACTGAACAAGTTTCCAAGGTAAACTGGGTTAAAAAAAAAAATGGAAAAAGAATCCCTGCAGCATTAGTCTGTCTGGAGCATGGTAAACAGTTCTGCTTGATAACAGTGCTTGTCTAGCCATTTGCAGGCTTGCATCAAGGAACTGAGAACATTAAGAGCAATTCAGATTCAGTCACTACATAGGTCCACAACCAGGCTGCATGAATTTCTCTCTGTCACTGTACTTATTCTGCTCTGTTCTGTAGAGACTGCGGTCTCCTAAATCAGTATCAAACCTGAATTTCGTAAAGCCATGTAACCTGTCTTACCATTGGGCACTAAACTTTATGCAGTCAAACAACTGGATCCTCTCCACCTTTCACCTGGTACTCTGACTGACAACATATTTTTGTGTGCAGAAAAGCAGATTTAAATGGTGGAGGTGGAAGGAGCAATGATGGACTTAAGCTTGAGGGCCAAAGAAGGGCATTTGTGGAAGAGGGAGATAATAAGGTCATCTGAATACACTTTGAGAAACCAATTCCCAGAATCCCTGTATTTCTCCAGTAATTTTTAGTTAATCTTCAGGATGAATGAAGATTGAAACTCTTGTCACAGTCCAGATGAGACAGACACATGCACTATTCTTAACAGTTGGGAGTTTTTTATGCTGTACTTTCCTTTACATAGATTTTTGTTTTCTATGTATTTAACTAAATACAGTTACATGTTTTATTTTGGTGCCTGTGATTTGAACTATACTCTGTAATAGCAGTGCTACGGGAATATAAGGGGAAGTTTATAGTGGATAATTATCCCATCCTTTCAAATCATTCTTTAATTGCAAGTACAGGGAAGTCTCTGTTAAGCAATTCTGTAGTAACAAAATATTCTGCTCTGCCTAAATGATTTCTACATAAAAGATACCAAGGACTTGTTTGAGAAATCAGTTCAACTGATCAGCTGTTTCTTCATTAAAAACCCTCATCCTAAGACACAGAACTTCTGTTCAGCTGTCTAACAGACACTGGTGTCGATTTGGTAGTGAATGTTTTCTGGCTTTTAGAGGGAGGAATGTAAACTGAGCTCTTCTTGCAGGTCAGCAAACCCCAGGATTTCTAGTGAACAGACAGTATTTCCATGGGGAAGCAGTTTATTGCAGGGAGAGACAAGGAAGCAAGGCCTAGGGTCAAGTGACCTACCTTAGGCAACTAATGGGATTTCAGAAAAACAGTCCTTCAAATGGTATTTGCCAGATGAGTTATTAATGACAGATTTATTTTCTTGGGGTTTTTAGCATAAGAAACATAGGGCTCTGTGTTTTGCACTTTTAATGTGTAAAAGATAAAACTTTGGATGAAGCTTCATAAGCTGCCCTTAAATTTCTTTGAAAATTATTGCCATGAAAACAGAAAGTACTTTGTTTTACACAGCCAGAATAATGAGCTAGGCCTGATATTTCCAGGTTGTGTTAAGTGTACTTTGGAAAAATAGCAGATTGTAGGGTGAAACACTCATCTGGTTGTTGATTAAAGTAGGAACAGCTGTGTCTATGCCAAGATGTAGTACAAAAGCAAAGAAACAGGATAGCTACTGGGGGAAGGTACACTGGGCTTAGTTGTTTGAAACAATGGGATCTTAAAAATCAATAGGGTACTCAATTACCCAGGGTTAAGCTCTACTGGAAAGGCAGATTAAGCTGTAAAGGTAATACTGCCGCTCTGAGCCCATGTATTTCTGTAAGCATCATTAAGTTATCATTCCTGAAGTACAGAACCAATGGTGAGTAAATGAAATTGAAAGGCAACAATGTTAAAATCCATGTAAGAAGGATTTTTTTAAATGCAACACTAAGAAATTGTGAAATTCACTGCTATACTACAGGACTAAAGTGAAAGTTTCACAAAGTCATAAAGGGATTAAAGATAGGTGTGGCTGATGAGACCATCTAGTGGTGCACTTAATGGGATCAAGACAATTCAAGTAATGTAAACATCTCTCCTAAAGTGAGGGAGCTGTAAGAAACTTCCATCAAATATATGGGTTATCCCTTATGATGCTTCCTGCAATAAACTCTAAAACCTCTGGGTCCCTACTTCTCCCATTACAATTTCAACAGTACACTTGTGTTGCTCAGAATGCACAGTTTAGAGGCAATTTCACTTGCAAAGTTATTTGACCTGTAGGGTACAACAAATTGTATAAAATAAGGCAGTGTTAGACATGGCTGAAGATAACATACCTGGCTAACCAGACATTGTTCTGATTTGACACAGTACAAGTTCCTAGTTGTTCAATTTAAAAACATTCTGGTGTTAATTTTTCAAGTTTTACTACATAATTTCTGAATGTAAGCAAGTACCTCAGAAAAAGAGAAGTTCTTTTATTTCAAAGTTATCAGTAACAGACAAGCTGTGAACACAAAATAATTTGGTTTGGGCTGAGTATATTTTAACACTAAACCTGATCTCCCAGTAGTTTCTGAATTGTTATTGACTATCACATAATTTCAGGTAGCCTGCCCTTAAAAGGAAAGAGAGGTGTACATTCAACTGGGAATAGGTAAACCACATAAATAATAATAATAAATTTGTAAGGAAGGACAGGTCAAATAAAAAGTAATGAGAAATGACAAAGAAGTAGAACACTGTAGGGTTTTGTTAAATTGCATACAGTATGTGTGTACTTGCCCACACTTGCACACACACATCTCTGGGTCTGTATAGAATCACTGTTCAGCTTGTTGTGCAGTTGCTTATAAAGAATACAAAAGACATTATGTTGTAAACTTTAAAGAATATTTAATAACTTTTAAAAAATAAAAGGTATATTTTAAATTTTGTTCTTTATATGAATGCACAAAAATGTACCATTTTAATTGCAGCAACAAAATCCAAAGAACAGAGGAGACTGCCCACTGTGGTGAAAGACCAGTGACAAGGGAGGAGAATTCACAATGGAATCCAAACAAGATTTCCCATGGCAAGTCCCAACGTGTTTTCTAACTGTCTAACTCGGGATCTATGCAGATCATTTACATTTAGCAAATTCTTGCAGATAAATTAGAGTAAATAAGGAGTCTGGGTTTAAATAATGCCACAATCAACTGCTGGTTTCTGTTGCTTACCTTTGGTGCCCCATTTATGGCACAACACCGAAGCCAAGGGGTAAATGAAAGGCTGTCACTTTGTCCATGCTGGCTGACACCCTCCTGTCCTGCCCTGGGAAGGTGTAAGAGGCAGCCCAGTCACTCTGTGTACTCTGTGTGCCCAGTTCTCATCAGTTTGTGAGAAGTGAGGGCTGGGGTGGATTCCATAAGCAGCCCTATTGATGATGCAAGAGAGAGGATTTTTACAGCTTCTGTGCAGTCCCTTCCTCTCCATATGATAAATCCTACAATGCTGCATTTAAATGCTAATTATTGATCAAAGAATGAACTTTTATGAGTTTGTTTAATTTGAGGGGGGAGACCAAAGAACTATTCATAGAACAGAAACTTAAGTGTATTTCAGTGATTGTGCACTGTATGATGAGGAGCTAAGTAATTCTGTTGTACAAGTTAATAAGATTTGGCTGCTAGTGACAGTACAGGAAAATAAACCATATTCTATTAAATATATGGGGTTTGGGCGTGGTTTTTTTTTTAATAATTGTGAAAATGAAAAGCCAAAAGTATATTTAGACTGAATCTAAAAAGCTAAATCCTGATGCTGCTGAATTCAGTAGGTTCAGTCATATGCCCTGTGCCTTCATATCTTGTTATTAAGCAGAAACAGCCATGAGAATAAATTAGGAGTGCTCCTTTATTGCCTTTGGTTCTGTCTTTAATTTAAATGTATTGAGTCCTCCTTCATGTTTAAAGATAAGAAGTCACAATAATATAAAAGGCTTTAGTAAAAGTGACAAGACACTAATAGAAGCAATTGGAATGACTTCTGTGTTGCTCTGCCTGCATTCAATATTAGCAGCCTTTCAAATGGATATTATGCACTACAGGTTACTTATATATAATCAACCAGTTTAATGTGTAAAATGGAACTGTCTTTTTGGGTTTTTTTTTTGAAAGATTGTTGCTGTTACACATCACAAAATCTTCTGACCTTGTCAGCAGAGAAAGGATGTAGTGATCTTAAGAAAATATGGTAAGTCTGAGGCTTGTTATATGCAGTATGTTCAGAGGTATGAAATTGGATTGTGCTGGTAATGCTGTAAGCACTCTAACAGCTGTTTGGTCTGTGTGGAGAGAGTTAGTAACATTAAATATACAAAATAGTCCAGTTCAAATTATGAAAAAGCTGCAGTAGCATTGCAGTTGGTAGTGGAAGAAAAGAATTTTAAAAGGAATTATTAGCAGCAATATGTGATCTGGCATTTTTTTTTGTTGTTTGTCTGCTTGGGGTTTTTTATTGTTTGTTTGTGGTTTTTTTTTTGTTCTGTTTTGGTTTTTTTCCCTTAACTGTATGTTTTTGTTGCAGTGACTGGGATTTACAACGTGAGGGTTGCTTATACTCCCTTTAGGTACTTGTTTTTTAAAACCAAAAAAGTTTATCTTGTAAAGACACCTAAACTGTGGAAAATGATTAGAGGAAACCACAAAATGTGACTTGTCTCCAGTCTGCTTCTCATATTTTGTTTCCACTGAAGCTTTAGCTGAAGTCTAGAGGCATTCTCTAAGAGCTCAGCACATATTACTGTGAGACTCACAGGAGAAGGGTCTGTGATCTCTCTTTTCTCTACACCACCACCAAGCAAATTGATAAGAGTTGCTCTCTGTGGGGGTTCTGCACAATGGTTTGCTCCCATCAGCTGAACCATCAACAGCCTGCTGTCTCTGTGTTAATTTTTAATGGCAGGGATCACTACAAATAGACTTGTCTACCTTTTATCTGTCTCAAAAAAAAAAATCAATGTTTTATGGATGTTTTCATCACTGTGTCATGCTGCTTTTCAGTGGTAGAAACTCTGAGTTGTCAGCAGAAGCACCCCTGTGTACAAACTATAAACCAAGGCAAGAACTAATGGCACAGCTAACCTGGAATTGTATCTGTGCAGGTTAAGAAAAGAACAGAGTAGAGAGAGGGAAGGAACAAACTTACACCATCTTTTGGAGAGCAGGACAGTGTGCAGGTGAGCCTGGGCTCAAGAAGCAGAGAGCAGGGATACTGTGATGACTGCAACACCAGTGAGCCTCTTGCTTTGGAGCACAGGGCACTTGTGTGTGGACTACTTGCTCAGCTTGGGTCGGTTGGGGCTTGTTTGCATGACAGTAAAATCCTTTAGTGGTGGGGAGGTTGCTGTGATAGTGATGGGGAAGCCACAAAAAATGCACAGAATTATTACATTACTTTTACCTTAGCCTGCACAGCTAAATGCCCCATGGGGGTAAAATTTTGGAAAATAATTGCTCTTTTAAACACCAGACTGTCCTAAGCAATTTCCCAGAAAATATGGAGTAGCTCATGCCTGAGAGTGAGAAGACTGCAGGAAATCAGCAGAGACAAAAAAATCTCCCAAATCTGATGAGTGAGAGTGAATCTGTCAAATAATGCAGGTCCAGAAAAGGGTTAGTTATGGGTGTAAAGGAGATTGTTCAATAGGCTGTGTGTTGGCAAGTGCAGTTTTGTGCTGGAAATTGTCTTTAAATCAAAGCATGCAAAATGTCACTCAGAGCTGAGACCTGCTGTTGTAAGCAAGGTAACTTTCCCTGTGAGCTTGCTGCATGCTTCCAGTCTGCAGGAATGGCTGCACTCAGCTTCCTGGGAAAACACAGCTCCATAGTCACCTTTCTGCTCTAAGTGACAGTGGCTGAGAGCTCCACAAATGCTGGCTGAAGGGAGAGGGCCATCTGCATTGCTCTGTTTGCCTGTTCCCTGCTGTGGCCTTTCCCTGGGGTGCTTCAGCTTCTCCCTGGCACATATGCACTACCTGGAGCTGTTTGCTGGCAGGGAATTATTTGTTTGAACAATAGGACACATCTGATTTTTAACCTCATCACCAGAAGATGTGCATAGGAGGGTACTACATCAATTACTTCAGTTATCAATGAGTGGCTGTTCCCTAGTTAAGGAAAGTAATGGTTTTGATTTCTGCATATTTCTGTAATTCCATGATATTCTAGAAAGTGTGGATTATATTCTAACCAGCAGCTAGGTGAAGAAAAATGCATCTGAAAAAGAACACTGAGAAGTGCCTCCAGTTCTAACAGAGACTGATGTATCTTGGCTGTTGTCAGCGTGCAGCTGGGAGGAAAAAAAAAGGTAAGCATAAAAGCATCTGAAGTCTTAATAACTCTCAGAAAAATGAGCAATGTGCAAAAGATTTTTCCTCAGCAAGGCGAACACTATCATACCTGCAGATGATTTTATCCCAAAGTAAATTAATGAAATGGTGACATTCAGGGAAGGAACAGCTGACAGCTTTGTACACATCTTCAAGCATGGAAATGAGTGATATTTTTTGGCAGACTTACTTGAAACAGGGATGATAAATAAAACCATAGTAGACTGACAGAGAGAGCCCACTCACAAGTTGTTTACTGAAATGAAGATACAGCTGAAAGTAATTACTTGTTTCCCAGAGGTATAAGTGATAGTGCCTTGTACAAGAAATAATACTTGGTTATTTCAGTTGGAATGTAAAATAGGATAGAAAGGTTTCCTCTTTCTGAGGTTAGATGCTGGGTATTTTCACCTCCTTTCAGAAAAGTATGTGTTTATGAATGTAATATATATAACATATGCAGTCAACCATCTATATGCCACTGGCAATTAGGAAGTGAGGCAATGTCCAATATTGTTTTCCATTAACAGCCAGGATCTCGCTGTACAGATTCTGATTAAAAGCCTGACTCTGCGGCACAGAAGATTAAAAATACTCCTTTAAAACAATGCACTTCTGAAGATGATCCTCTCCTGGCTACAAAATCATCTTGAGACACTTGGAGGCAGGGCTGCTTGATCTTGACATTTTAGCTGTGTGCAAACTGTAGTAAAATTACAATTGCATTCAGTCCTAGCTACTCTGTACCTTCTTGCTGAAGAACATTTGTTTTCTACGTCCTCTCTTCCAGACTGGGAAATGCAGGAAGGCAGCCTGGCAGCTTTTACAGAGGTTGCCTCAGTGCCATCTTTTCTTAACATGGGTTTGCAGTCAGCCCCTTGTAAGCAGCCTCTCTTGCCTTGCCACAGGCCATGGAAAAGGAACCATTGCTTTTTTGGTTTTCCTCTGCTTAAAGACAAGGCTGCTTCTTACCTGTGCCAGTTCAAGTACTGACTTTTTCTTTTCTTCCTCCTTCAGTAAAGTGGGGTGATTCACAAAATCTTCAGAAAGATAGCATTATACACAGTTTATAGTACAAAGGGGGGTGGGGAAAGGTCAGATGAATGAGCATGAAGGAGATTTCTCCTGTGTCCTTTGGAGGAGAAGCAGAAAGATTGGGAATGGTATCTATGCACAGTAGGTGTCTGCCTTGACTACCTGACAATACATGGTCATTGCAAAGGTGAGTCCGAGAATCTAAGAGAAAAGAAACAACAAACAATCGTTTTTCAGTAAGTAAAAAAAACCCTATTTATTGAAACAACAAGAAAAAAAAGAGCAAAGCATGACACTAGTTTTGTTCACACACAGGAGGACATATCACATACTGTGTTTCCTGCCTGTGCATGTCCTTGTTCTATTCCTAGAGTCTGTCTGCCTTTTGTCCTTATCCCTCTTGCTGTCTTACAGAATGGACAGTGAGAGCAGGAGAGAGTTGATTTCTCACCAGATACTGGGAAGAGGTATATTGAAAAAAATTTGGATGTCTTTTGCTTGAAAATATTTTACAGTAGCAATCCACAGCTGTGTGGGTATTCTGTGGGTGTCCCTGTAGCTGTTTTTTTGAGAGACATTGGGTTAAACCCTGGCCCTACAGATGCAGTGGTTTACTTGACTGTACTTTACTTTTCCAAGAGTATGTGTGCACAGGTCTCTGTGGGGGGATCACTGGAGACTGAACATGCATTAATCATGACCATCAATGCCTCATCAACAATGGATGTGTTTTTCTACTCAGCCTATTCAAGAGAAGCAGCAGGGAGGTGGGGGTTCTTCTCCCAGCTAAGCACCGACCTGTTGTGCTGTCTCTGGTGGATTACTTCATCAAAAGGGATGGGAGAGAGAGTCTTATTTTCCTTCCAGCTGAAGTACCTATATGAGTGTACTAAGTGCTTGTTACTTTCCCTTTGCAACACCACTGTACGAGTTGTCACTGAAATGAAGGGCTGCGAGGTAGAAATTTTAGGGTATGAATTCTGTTTTAAGCACTTAATTTGACCACTTCAAATTTAGTCTTTACATGAGTAATACTTCCTGTTAATGAGTACTTTAAAAGAATATATGAATACACACGCATATAATTATATTTATGAAGAAAAAATGGTTATAAAATTAATTTATATTATGAAGAAAAAATGGTTACTGTTAATCTTCCTCAAGTCTCACTCTTCTACAGTGAAATCAGATTATTAGGTTTTGGTGTGCTGTTTGTAGCAAGCACTGGCCTTTTGGAAGTATCCACCTTCAGGGACAGCTACGTAACAAAACAGTGGTGGCTGAACTTGGTTTATAATTTGAAGCATGCACGACTGAGGAAGATTCTTCTGTTGCATGTGCTGTTATATCCTTCAAATTATGTGACTGCATGATTCTCTAAGATGCTAACATGAAAAACTGCCACATGCTATGGGCCAGAACACAACTGAAACAGCAGCAAGAGAGGGGGCTCAGTTCATTTCAGGTGACAGTACACAGAAACTTTTGTCATCAGGTACATTCAATTATACCAGGCAGCTGGAAGGCAGACTGAAAATCTGTTGTGTTCTGAGGTGTTTTCCCTGCATTGCACAGCATTTACTAGGAATATGAATCTGCATTTTTAAGTTGTCTGAAGTGCTTCCTCCCATGCAAACTAGCAATGTCTTTCTGTCAGAAAGATAGTATTGTCTTACAAATTTAATATACTTAGGGTATTTATGAGAGGGACTCTGACCATGGGCTGCTGGGGATTTTTAGTGTATCCTTTAAAGATACCCTAAATGCAGAATGGATGCTCAAAAGCTGGTTTGTTTTTTTTTAATCATGGTAATTAACAACAGTCATAAATTGCCTGTCTGCCATATGATCTTGTGCTTTTTTCTCTAAGCATATCTGCTTATTATACTGGAACAAACCCCAGAAGTCTACTGAATTTGGGCCTGTGAGGCGTCAGGCATTTGCATTAATAAGTTGCAGCCAATAAATGACATATGAGAGAGTAAGATATGTGCCATTCTGCCTAATCTGTCATTATTGGGAATGTGAGTGGAATACTGATCCCAGGCTCTCTCCTGCTGCTGCTTAGTGGCATACCAGGCAAATTTAAAAAAAACCCAACCAAACCAAACAACCATGAGTTAATCTGCAGTTCCACAGTGTTAATTAGCTTAGCAGTGCCATCCTTTGTGCTTGCATGTTGGGTGTGAGAGAGGGGGAGCTGGAGACTAAAGCTAGATTTTTCAGTGAATTTAGGAAAGGCCCTTTGAACCAGCCAGAGCTCCAGCACAACTTTCACCTGTGTATCCTCAGGCTGTGCCACAGGTGCTTACACTGGCACAACCACAGCAGGCTGGGTTAAAGGCACAGGCATGTAAGAGACAAAGTGGTGGACAACAGATTCTTCTCTGACCAAAGTCACAGGGGAAAGGACTGCAACTCAAAAATCTGACAGGCATGTCTATGCCAATCATAGTAAAGGAACATGGGTTTATTGGCAGGGTTTGGGCACCACATCCTGATTTGTAATTTACCCTGGGCCTGAGGGATGAGGTTGAAGACTTAAGTTACCTCTAGACTGTGCTGAAGTTGGCTATTTAGCCTAAGTCCTCTCTGGAGAATAACTGGACAAATAGAGGCACCCTAAAGGCAGTTCATCCTACCCTGATTAGGTGTCTGGAGTCCAGTCTCCCCTCCCAAGTCCAGTTTCAGTCTTATATAAACCACTTGATAAAGTGCCAGCTCTTTGCAGTGCATCATAAAACACTGCAGTATTCCTGGTTCTGTGCCTTGTACACAGTATTTTAACTAAAGTAAAACTCAAAGTGCTTAATAATTTTGTCTGATGGTAGACAAAAATTCTGCAAGATTTAAAACCTGCTTAGGCAGAGTATATATCTGCATCTGTGGTTACTTAGTTACAACTACTTAGGATTTGAAAATTGATATTAAACTGTACCTGCACCATAGCTGTGCACAATCCAAAGATTCCCACTGCCAGTAGGTTTTCCTGGAGCCATACTTTCACAGTTTCATAGCAAGGCTAAAAAGAAAAACAAACCAAGAATATTGTATTGGCCATAAATACAGCTCTACTCTCCCAGGAATATACAGCTAGAGAAAAAATTGATCTGACGCAGCTGCTAGGTAGCCTGGATTATCATTTCAGTGCTGAAGCAACTACAATGTATTTTTGGGTTGAAGCTTGAACATGGAGTACTAATCCCAGACACAAAACAGTGCACCTCCAAAATGCTGCTTGAGCACTGCTCCGTATAAATTCAGCCAGTAACAAAAAATATTGTGCTGATTTTGGCTGGGGTAGAGTTAATTTTCTTCACAGTGATGGGTATGGGGCTGTGTTTTGGACTTGTCCTGAACACAGGATAGATAATCTGGAGATATTTTTTGTTATCATTGAGCAGGAGTTACACAGAGCATGGTTTTTTGGTTTCCCTATTGAACTGTCTTCATCTCAACCCACTCTTTTCTCAGTTTTACTTTCCTGCTCTCCCCTTAATCCCTCGGGTGGGAAAGTAAGCAGGCAGCTGTGTGGGGCTTAGTAGCCAGCTGAGGTTAAACTACTACAAATAAACAAGCACTGGGTTTGGGTCCTCTTTGCTCTCTAAAACCCAACCAGAAGCAGTTAGAACCTTACAATGAGGTTTTCATTTTCTCCACATTTCAGGGAAGTAAACATTTCTTATAATACATAAACACACATGAAACCCAACAGTCCCAGTGTGAGTGGCTCAGTAGCTGCTCCTGCTGCACATGGGCCCATTTCATACCATTTTCAACTGCAGTATGGACACTCTTCCATTATTTTCTTCATGCTTTAAATTCTACAGTAGCTGTAGCCCAGTTTTACTGGTCCAGTTTTGGGGAGGGTGGAATTGGCCCAAGTGAAACCTTTCTTTAAATAATGTCTGTAAGACAACCTTGTGCAAAAACAGGGACCCCTGTCTTGTAAATGTTCACGGCCAAGAATCATTCAGCCTTCAGTTAGGGGCTTTTACATATGTATAAAGAAAGAACTATTAATGGCATCAGAAGCCAGAGGGTTAACCTGCACTGATTTTCTTGCTACCCTGAATAAAATAGAAGAACTTTTCAGTCCTTAAATTAAAAAAAATTACCCAGAGCTACTCAAGAAGTATAAGGAAGCTGTGTTTGATGTGAACTCAGCCTCTGTTGAGTACAAATCCATGCATATGAAATCTCACTAGAAAGTGGCCAAGACAGCTTTACTCATTGTCTTCACAAACCATTAGAACCAGCAAAATGTAGTTATAATTCCACTTCATCAGGTGGCCTACACCCCTCCTGTGTAATTGCACTACCTGTAATTAGCACAAAGAATTGCTGAGGTAATTTCTGAGACATATTTAGGCTCTGACTATCTGTTCCAGAAAGATCTTGCTGAGGCCGTTGTAGGGAAATTATCCCATGGAGTTTTGAATTTGATTACAGGCAAGTGCAGAAACTCAAAAAAAAAATGCTGCTGGCAACTCAGCGGAACAATTCCCACTCCTCTGTGCAGTGGAGGCCCCCGAACCAGAGCTCCTGGTGGGAGAGGTGTGCTCAAGGCTCTGCCAGTCCTCCTGCCTCAGGAGTGCCTGGGCTGTGATGAGCTACAGCTGCTGCTCCAGGGCCTGTGTGTGCATGAACCATTTGCCTTTATTGCTGCCTGACCCCAGCAGGTGGGGCACTAAAAAGGGCATTCCTGCCATTTCCTAGCTTGATGTCACTGGTCTGCACTGCAGATCACTGTTGGAATGGACCTGTCTGCAGTGTGGAACAACAGCTTGGAGCCTACTGAAAGGAAACCAGCTCATAAAAATAACTAAATAGGGGGTTTCATTGGAGCTCAAAGGCCACAGCTCAACAGGAGCCTTCTGAAAGCACCTGATGAAAGGTGAATTAGGATAGAATGAGGTGCACAGCTTATCATCTGTGCAGCCCTGCAAATCACTACTGCCTGTCCTTCACCTGGGCTGCAAGGCAGCTGCTGCCATGTGCTGCAGAGCTACTCACCGCTTTCCACCAGGTCCCTGGGGAATGGAGCCCACAGTTCTCACTGAATTCTAAGCAGCAGGAGTCTGGCACCCGGGTTGTGTTGTACACTTCAAACCAGTCCGTGTAGTTGGAGACTCCGCAGCATCTGAACTGGAAAAAGATGAAGCGAGGTGATACCATAAGCGTGATCCATCACTGCCTGTTCTGACTTTGCCTCCTGGAGCCTGACACTCAGTGCACTTTGATCATATCAGCAGAGGCTTTAAATTTTAAAGGAATACAGTACTTCCTCAGCTTTACTCAAAACAGACCCCCTTCTCTACTCTTTTTTATTAAGTTTAAACATGGCCTTGTATGCAGCTAGTGTTGATGCAAGAAGAAAAGGCCCCTATTTGCAGTGGGAAGATACTGCAGGAGCTGAAACTGGACAACCTCAGACAAGTACTGAAACTGAGTTATTGACTGACCAGAATTTTAACAGTTGTTTGCAGTTTGTCAAGAAAAAAGATACAGGTACAGCACCCAAGAAACGAAGACACTATTTCTGGGATCATGATTGGAGTAAACAAGGTGAATTTCTCACTAAGCTATTAATTAGTAATCACCTTTGAAAGACTTTGCCTATCATCAGCAAAAGGTGTATTTCTCTCTGTGGTGCAGTTCTTTAATGTCATCATCTGATGCTGCTCTAACAGTTGTGCATTCAGTGTCTGCCTACAAGGACACAGTGTGTGCAGATATCACAACACTGCTAAATCAGAATGTCTGTTTGACTTTGGTAGTGGGATGAAAGGTGCAGAAACACACAGTGGTAGAGGGAATGGCTCTGTGGCCATCTTCCCCTTGGGAACTGGTATATTCTTGGGATAGGAAAGAAGCTGGGACTCATTACCACATAGATGTATACACCATCTGTCGCCCTTATGCAAAAGTATGAATTTGTTGGGATTTAGACACTTCAGCACCAATGAGTAAACAAGACAACACTGGGCTGCAGAACTGCTCTCTGCTATTCACAGTACCTCACACTTTTTGGGGCTATGCCAGCCACCTGCCTAGTCCCAAAATTACTTGCCAAGATCTTATTTTTTTAAATGCGAATTTAGGTAAGCCTGAAGGGTGTTTTTAGCATCCCTGTAGAGACCACTTCTCTTGTTTCTGAGAGACTCATAATCATGCAGACATCTGCATCACCAGGGCCAAAGACATAATGGAGATCCTCATGTTTACACTGGCTTGAGGGAGAGTTTTCCTTTGTTACATAATAGCTGTAGAGTTCAGGCTGTAGTAGAATTGTGGTGTTCAGCTCTTGCTGCACTCACAAAATGTGCCACTCCAGACCCATAGAGGGCAGAGGTGTCACATGCTGCTGCCTCATGCATCTTATGATGCTTCAAGCACTCAGAAAGTACTCCTTGATAGAGACATTTCAGTCTGCTCACAGCAGAGTTTTTCTTCTGTCAGGGAAAAGTCAGAAAACTTTCCTCCACGAACATCTATCCTTCCAAGTTTCTGCTTCAAATTTTGATTTGGTCTGTGGCAGGGCTCAATCCTCCACTTGCAAATGTTTGATTTTTAGGATTACAGGCTTCATTTTCTACAAACTGACATGAAAATAGAAAAAAAAGTTTGTGCCTTTCTTTTTTTCCTATATGTTGCTGCACAGAAAACAGGAGGTCCATGTGTAACAGGTCCCAAAAGCGAGTAGGAGCAGCCTGGAATACATGGCATACATTTGAGGAAGGCTGGTTTATTTGGAAATCTAACAAGAAGAAGGTCTTGCAGGCTGTCATCATTAGAGTCAGGAGGCAGCTCTTTGATAGACAGCGAGAAGTGACAGCTTGTAAACAGCAAGCCTTAAAAATGTGGCTCATCTGTGATGTAGAGTGTGCAGCGGTAAGGGCTGAAACATTTGAGTGATGTTCTGGCCAAACACAAGTGACACAAGTTTGCATAAATCAGAACTAGACTCCTTCTTCTCATAATAATGCATGGCTGAAGGTGTCAGTCTGACAGACTACGGAGATGAAGATGAAGCACGGGTTTTGTAGCCAAGTGCTCACTAACAGGTTGAGGACAGCTGCTCCTAGGATTGGGACTCCAAAGAATAAAATTCCTGGTAAGCCACAAGGTGAGAATAGGAAGGGATGCAGTTGCAAAGATGAGCTGCAGTTGGACACTGCCTGCCCACACAGATTGTCTGTACAAGAGCACAGCAGACACAGCAATGGGCTAAGAGAAGTTCAAGGTATAAATAAAGGGCACAACACAGGATCAATGGTCTTGGGACTGGAAGAAATAATGTCTGTAACTGTAATTGGAAGAAATATCTTTGGAAGACAAAGGAAGGATGAGCAATGGGATTAAGCAGCGGATGATCCATAGCCCTAATCAAGAGGAGGTGATGAATACAGCAGAGTTCTAACACCACAGAGACCTGAGAGTGCAGAAGCAAGGGAGGGAGCACTGCTCAGTGAAGGCCAAGTCCTGTCACTGGCATCTCTAGGGAGCAGGGGCATTGATCCATGGTCAAAGATGCAGGAATGAGGAAACAAGCAGCAACAGGACTGAATGGATCACCACTTCAGATCCAGCAGAGGTCCAGAAGCCAGAAAGGCAGATAAGCTGAGAGGTCAATAAACTCAGAGACTTCACTATGGATTCCAGTAGGAAAGAGAGAGTGCAGGAGTGATTTTGGATCATATGACAAGCAAGTGATTTATCCCTGGTTGATGCAGGTGAACAGTAAGGAGCCAAATCATTGAGGGAGATGAGGGATCATTAGAAGAAAGGGGAATATGGAGGACTTTTTAGAGTCCTTTTAGATTTGAGAGCAACATTATCTTGAAAATTGGCACGGTTTCTAAGCAGGGATAGTTGGAGACAGGCCTACACCTGGAGGATTGAGAAAGCTCAGGGCAAAGGACAATGTCTGTCACCAGCAGTTTGTTGTAGTCATTTCTACCACAAAGGCTGATATTCTGCCAATGCCAGGCATGAAAGCATTGAAGTCTCGATTCTTGCTACAACCACATTCATTTTTAGGTCACATTTACACTCCTGTCTTGTTCTCTTCACAAGTGAAGTGATAAAATTACACAAGTTTGCCTAATTGCTTACTTCTGTTCCTACTTTCAACATTTACAATTTTTAGAAATAATTATGAACTAACAGTGTTTCTTTTGGAGTACCAAGACTAACACATTTTAAAAGGGAATAATCTAGTAAAAAAGTTTCTATGTCAGTGCAACAGTGCAACTCCTGAAAAGGAGTTGGACGCTTGTACATATTTTACATTATTCTCAACATTGAAGGCTAAGTGGGCCTTATCTTCTTTGCCAAATTCCTGCAGACTCAGTCAGGCTGGGATAGGGTTTGTGAAAACAAACAGATACTCAGTCCTTGTTGCAGACTGTTTTTTAGCAAAGCCTTGTTTTCTGCTTTTGTGAATGGGGCAAAGAACTAGAGACAGAGTAGGGGGCCTTCTATACACCTTTTTCCACCATCACTGTGAAAAGTGATGAATAATATAGTTTTGTTCTAAAAATCATGTTTAATGGGTGGTGGTTTCCAGTAGTAATTCTAAAGTATGGCTTGATCTAATAGAATCAATGACTGAGAATAGGGAGATGGGTCAAATTTCTTCTCAGTTACAGTGGTCTAAACAGACATGAAAAGGCATTACACAGCAGCAAAAGTGAGCTGAATTTGCTCACTTTAGTGAAGCTAATAGGTTTCCTGCATGCCTCTCAAATTACTGCCCGCTTAGTTAAAAGTAGAAGTGCTCAAATATTGATCACAAAGATGTTGAGGATGAAGCAACATTTTAAAAATTAATGCCTGTTTCTCATTTTCTAATGATCTCCACCTGTGACTTTAACCAGTCCTGGTGGGTAAGAAGTTTAATGCAATTCAGGGCAACTTACCTCCTAAACTATCAGAATTTTAGTCATGTTTGAAAATCACTTTGTAAGCTTTCGTAGTCTTCAGTCATGACACACAGAATTCATCTGCTTGTGTTTCTGATCCTTTTAAGGTTTGAAACGCTATTGAAAAGGCTGAGAGTTTGGTTAGCTGAAGGTATTAAAAAGAAATCAATAGAATGTTCTGATTTGAAACAGCTCCCTGACCTAGAGGCTTACTAGGACTGCAAAATGAGTCCAGTGCCTTTCCTCTCAAACACTTTGCAGGTTTGCAGCTTAACCCAACTCCTTTATTGGTAACGTGAGCAGCTCAGGCATCAGCCAAAACTGCAACTTCCTCTTAAAAGACAGGAAGGGAAAAACTCAGTTTTCCCCTTGTTTCCAGTGTCTTGAAAATGGTAGGCTTCTGTTAAAAAGAGGAAAATAATTTCTCAAGGCACAAAGGCTTCGGAAAAGAAAACCTTCCTCAAACGGTGCTCAGGCCTTTCACACTTAGACAATCACCACTCACAAGTCACTCTGTGCTCTGGGCATCCACACTCCCTGTCAAAACTCCCCTCTGATTCGTGACTGGCCAATCCCACAAAAGTCAAATGCCATCTAAATGAGGCTCCTTGGAAAAACTTTTTCCCCCTTTTTTCAGCCAAAGCTGCCATACACAATAGCACCTAATGAATGCAGAATGGGGGTGGTCTCTAGCTTAAATCTTGGGAGAAATTAAGAACTATGCCAGAGTGTGAAAGCTACTGCTTTAACCACTACTCAGGCTCTGAAAAATACTTTTACAAAGAAAGGAGTGCAAATGCAGAGGGGACAAGGAGTCATTACGATTTCTGTTACTGTCATGTTTTTTACATGACACTTTTTTTTTGTGAGGCTGCTGTTTTCCATCCACATACAGACACAGCCCATGGCTCAGCCAATGACTGATGTCTCCCATCAGGAAAAACTCTGTCCTATATCTCATCGTGGTTGCTCTGTTGTGGCTTTTGGTGAGAGCCTTAGGAGACAGAATGCAAACAGCAAGCCTGGGCTGGGATTTCCCTTGCAGAAAATCCCCTGCATCACCCTAATTCTCCAATCAGTGATTACACTCTACTGATTAGGGATGTAAGAGATAATGATTATTACACAGAAACCCCCCAAGTTGGCATTTAGATAGCTCTATTCAACTGCAAAGTGTTTTACATAATTAACCATGATGGGATTGTCTTTGCTGCACCTCTGCAATAGTGTATTCCCACACAGTTTTGAAAGATACATGTGAGAACCAATTATGCAGAGTGGCAAAAATGGATATGTGGGAGCTCTTTGCTGTTCTCCTCAGTGCCCAGCATGGAGAGCACAATGACTTTGGCACTGTGGTACTGCCAAGCTGGCATGTGGTAATTTCACAGTGGCCATGAGAGAATTATGTCCCCTGGCTGCATACAACCCATGGAGTGGCATTTTCTTGTCACCTTCTGAGCTCCTAGGAGTTAGCTAACATAAGTTTCATCTGAAACTAATAAGGTATTCTTTAAACTGTAATGGGTTTCAAGACCAAAGGAATTACCAGGACAAATGACCATGATCTGCAGCACTACACAAACTACAGATTATTGAGTCCTGCCTTAAACCTAAGCTGGTCACTGAACCTGATCCCTGATCATTTCCTTTAAGCAAAAAGCCAGGTCTTATTCTTTAGAGAAAAAGAATACTGTGCTGCTGAACAGCAACATCCTACCACGACATACATCTAACTTGGGTTTTTAGCTCTTGGATCAATTACAGAGCCCTATTCTCTCACAACCCTTTTTCCTTCCTGCTCTCTTTTTAAGCACTGCAATGACATCACTAGTTCATCTTTGCCTGTTTATATAAGGTGTTTAAAATTTCTCACCATAATGTCAGTTTCCAAATTTTTTTTTACATCTTTTCTGAATGCAGTCCATGAAGAATTTGAAAAAATGTGACTATATGAACTAGACATTACATATATTCTTACACCTATTTTACACAAAGGGGAACAGAAATATGGTGTTTATATGTCATGAGACCTCCAAAAACTGCTTTTCCCCCCATCTTTGCTATATGCTTTTAAGACTTCTTGGGGTGCCACTGAAAGCAGATTAATACTTACTACAAATATTTTAATACTAGTAGTTTTTACTACATTTTTACTACACATAATTAAGTTCCTATAAAAGAGTAAACTTTCTAATACTGTTGGATATAAGCAATGATATTAAAAAACATCTGTATTTCACATGGCTTGCTCTCAAGATAGCACCACCAAATGCATTTCGCTTGTCAGTAACTGATGCTTTCTCATACTTGATGTATTGGAAAAAGGAAAAAAGCATTGGAAGAGGAAATTATTAACAATATTGCAAGATGCTGAGGCCTTTTAAAGGCAACTGAAAGAACTTTTTACGTGCAGTTGTTTGGATGCAGGACTGAAATTAGCTTTTTTCCTGGACCTGAACTTTGGACACTCCTGTCTTTCACACACAGCAGTATTGTAGGCAACCTACTGCACTCAACATAGGTCCTGCAGACCCAAAGATGCACAAGGAGTTTGGCCAATCAGTTCTTTTGTTCTGTTAGCAATCTCAAGGTTTCAATTTCTCAGACCATTTCTTAGCAGTCTGTTGCTCCTGTTACCTTGTATTGTCCATAAGAGGAGACTTTGGGAGCACTGGGAGGGGTTACTGTCTTTGATCCATTTAAGACATCAGGCAAGACTAAACCCCTCCTGTCTGTACCACACTTGCACCTCTGGAGGAGAAAATGAGGCGGCTATGCAAGATTTCTTGAGTGAAGCCAAGGCTGTGCAAGTGCTTCTGCCTAAAGCAGGAGAAAAGCTGGAGCACTTTTCCATTCAAGAACAGAGAACATGAAATCACAAATATCACCCCCAGGAGAACTGACTGAACTGAATATGAAACAGGTACAGAGCTAATAAACCTGAACTGTCAGTGATGGTGTTTCCTCAGACAAGGGCAGAGGAGGAAGCCAGCTACAATGTTCACCAGTCCTTAGCAGATGAACACTGGCAGAGAGCTGTCAGAGAATCAGGGCAAAGGAACAGCAGTGACAACACAGCAAAAAGCATTTCCCAGTCCACCTGTGATGGAGGATGACTGAATTCTGCTGGGGAAAATGTACTGACTGTAGGAGGAGGCTACAAACACCATGCTCTGTTTCCATTTTGACTCACTAGTGGGAACAATAGTAGCAGCGAAAGGAGACGGGACAGAAATTAAAAAGTGGTTGAAGAGGTCCTTTGCTAGTATGCTCTTCATCCCAGCAGAAACCACCTCTCTGACTTTAAAGAAAAGGTACAGCTTGTTTCCAGTCTGACCAGCTCCTTCACACTCCACATAGCACAGAGCTGCATGATATTTAGGCATCAACTTAGTACAACCTTCTAAAAGGAAGATGATACTTCCTATTAAAGTAGAAATAAATAAAATAAATAAAAAATACTGCTTGTTACAAAAAGCAGAGAGTTTGCTTGCTAATGTGCTGACTGGGTGGGAGAAAGAGAGTGACTTGGGATTTGGAGGTTTAATTATGTTCACTCCCAGAACATGCTGTTACAGAACCCAGAAGGTAAAGAGGAAGAGGTAAAAGAGAGAGCTCAGACTTACATCTGTTTGGATGATGCTCCATGCATTAGTGAGGCCAATATTTCCATCTGTCCCATACAAGTGAAGTCCTTTCTTCAGATCCCGTTGAGCATACTTGTCAATCTAAAACCAACAACAAAAGACACAGAACTCAAAATTTGCTGAGTACCAACTTTCAAATCAAAGAGCATGGAGCATAGAACTGTTGGACAACGGTCCTGTACTGAAATGAATAAAAGTTTAACCAACATTTTGTAAATAACATGAGGAGTTCCTCTTCTGAGCTTATGTTCCTGTTTCCTATCACAGAAACCTTTACTACATCTTTTCCCTTCTCACATAACTACCAAAGTACTACAGGAAGACTGGATGCAGCTTAACCACTCATTTTTGCAAATAAGCCCATCTATGAAATCTTTCATCTACACCCAACGTTTCCTTCTAGTTTCGTATATTTAATTGGGACCAAGTGCATTAATGTGTACTCCTTCATAGTGGAAAACAGACAGAGATGGTGCATTCCCTAGTGATTGCTCCTCTAGAACTTGTCATTCCAATGGTGGGGACTGTCTAAAATAATGTAACCAATGCTAATTTTAAGTTAACAGAGGCAGCAAAGGTATTCTGCTTCTCCCATACACTTGGGCTTCACTTCTGATTTGTGCAGTCAGAATAGCTTCCTGACTGCAGCTGCAAAAAAAAGTGGATGCAAAGTATCTTGCACAATGTTAAAGAGGAATTTTCAGCCCACTACATCATAATTATTAAGGGAAAAACATAAAGTTACTCAACAGTATGACTACAAAAATACTCTGACCTCAAAAGCTCACCATGTCCTGGAAGCCTCTGCTGTATGTGCAAAAGATTGTGCTTGATCTGTCCAGTTCTTTTGTTTCCTTCCCTAAAGTTTACCAGCATCATGTTGAGCCAGTAATAAAAAAGCTTTGAGGCAGTACAAGAAACAGCACAAGTTAAGATTAATTACAACTTAATCTCAGCACCTTAACAATCATGCAAGGCCTTTCTCATGGATGCCTTCCTTAAACAGTAGGTGCTGTGATCCCTCTGTAATTATCATGTAAGCTGCTTTTGGCTTTACACAGAGATTATACACAGTCACTGGTACGTTAATTAGAGGAGAACACCAAAGCTGAAAGCTGTCATTAAATTTGGAATTAGTTGAGAAAATTACAGGCAATAAACGATAAACTTAGATGTGCTGGGGATTCCTAGCATTCATTTAAGAATTAGATTGAATTGTGTTTCAGCTCTGCACTTACCCTCAGCTCCCTGTGTCTCAACTGGACCTGCTGTGATCTCCAGCAGTGCCATCAATTAGGATGGAAGGGCAGGGTTGTGATGCCAGTCTCAGAGAGGCCTGGAAATTTAGTTAATGTCCTACAGAGGCAGTGAGGTAAATTAATTGTTGGAAAACTAATTCTTATTCAGAAACTGACAGAGGTGAAGAGGAACAGGGTAACTAAGGGCAGGTAAGGACAGAAATCCAGCAAGGCAATCTGTTACCTTGAAGATGAAGAGAAAGGTTTATTTTAAATATTATCTCACCTGAGAATATCTGCCCTGTAGAGTGAGAAAGCTACACACCATCCTTAGGTTCATATCAGCAATTCTTATCTGAAGGGTAAATGCCATGTTAAAAGGATGCAAAATGCGAAGTTTGCACTTCCTTAATTAAGTTTTCCTTTGCAATCTTGACATCCTATTTCAGATGGATCATGATAATTTATTAACTTTACATTCACAGAAGATCAAGAGCAAAGTTTTGTTAGTCCATGTGTGCTTTAACATGGTCTCAAGAGATTGTGTCACCAAGCATTCCTGATCTTTCTTCTACCTGGAGAAGCCTCACTAGCAAGCGACTTGCTGAGGCTTCCTCATAAAATTAACCACTTTTGCTGCACAAAGAGTGCAAGGCCTTTATACTGGGAACACAGCTGGCATCAGATTTCCATATTTCAGAAACTGAATAACCAGCAGAGCACTAGTCAAGAAAACAGGTATTATGTGACCAGTTCTCCCACTGCTATTTCACAAAGCCTCAGCATCAAGTCCTGCACATGGTATGACCCATCATTATTTGTTGTTTTAAAAATAAAATGCCTGCTTGAATCTTGCTTGGAGGAGGATGTAATGTTTTTTAGAATCTCACATCACACATGTGACATGTGTCTCATTTCCTCATCTCCCTCTCATCTCTGTGCAGGCTACAACTTTGAAAGAGGCAAACACATGTTGTGGAACGGTATTGCCAGATTGTTTTACCTTTTTATTTCGTGTCCACTGACAGGGAAGGCATCTGGAAATACCAGTTTTACACATATACATACAGTGAGAGCTTTATAGTCATTTGAGTGATGGTAAAGGTAGGACTTTACACAGTTCTGTTTTATCAAAGTTTCCATCTGACCTTCTAATTAAGTGTGCTGCACACACAACAGTATGCTGCTCTCTGAAGAGCAGCTGATTTAAGATCTTTTTGTCAGACACACACAGCTACTCCTTGAAGCACTCACACTCTTCTGTTTGCTTACACTAGGGTCAGAAAGGTGTTGATCAAACCCTAGGAATAACCTTGTACAGAACGACCGAGTTTGTGGGTGGTGACGGGGCTCCAGGAGAAAGGGGGAACAGGGATCAGCCCTTGGCCTCCTGGCACTTGTGTCTGCAGCTGAAGCAGCAGCAGGAAGCCCCCCCCCCCTCTGTGTCTCCCCTGTTTCCATTTGTTATTAACATGTTACCTTGCATGAATTAATCAGTGTGATGTAGCCTTGGACTTCCTGAGAGCCCAGATGAAATGGAACAGGAGGGCTGCTCTCGCTCCCACTGAGAGCAGCTCAGTCTCTACGTGCGGTCCTATTAAAAGCACATTGACCTCTGCTCAAATAACCTCTGTGCAAGGTTATAAGATGGGTATTTTTCCTCCAGTTGAAGCACTGCTTGAAGCTCTAGACATACAATTCCTACTGGCTTTGACTAGAGAGAGGTAAGTAAAACCCAAAGCCGATTTGTGGGGCACAGCTGGCAAGTGCTCTTCCAGGTCCTCCTGTTTCCTTCTAACCTCAATTCTTTTCCTTCCTCAAAATATTTTTAGAATAACAGGAACTTTTCAATATGCCTTTATTCTAATTGTAACTTGGATTTAAATGAAAACTCCCAAAACACCCCCAGCTGTCTCTTCTGCCTTTAATTTTTTCAGAAAATGATCTTTCTGAAAATGAAATGCTGCGCCACAGTGATTCATCACATCTCCTGACAAATGATCCTACCCAATATTCACCAACCTGTCAGCTTCCCTTGTTTGTCTCTGAGCTACCAGTCCTCAGCCAGGCAAAATGTCTATCTCAAATCAGGATTGTAGTATTATACTTAATATTCTGCAATTTGAATCTGCTGCATTCTTCCATACACAAGCAGTGCCCTTCACAAATCACAGCTCTAGTGAAGTAGCACAAAGAAGAATAACAAAAACTCTGCAGACAAACTGTTGCTCCAAATGAGGTGCCTGCTTTTAGACATGTGGAATACCATGTCTTTAGACTTAAGAGTTTATCTTAAAGATTTGGCAGCAAGAACCTTTTATCAATCTGTTAGTGAAGAAGAGAAAAAATTCTTTTCCTCCTTGGGACTCATTGGTCAACAGGTGAGAGGTGAAAGCTTGAAGCTGGCATGCCATCCATGCAAATTCCTGTGAGCCCTGGGTTCACAGACACACTGGAGCATTGCCCATGCTTCTCAGCCCCATCAGGTTCCAGTAGTGTTTCTGGTAGGTTAAATGTGTCCCAGTGTGGTGATCCACTACAATCCATGCCTTCAAGAGAAGCACTTCTTAGAGCAGAGCATGCATATTGCTGCACTTTACTTAAGCTAAGATCCTGTTCCTACTGAAAAGAGGAAATATTTCCTCACTGATTTCCACTAGGCCCTAATAGGGCTCTTAAATCTCTCACTGTCCTATTAAAAAGACTTTCTAAAAAATATATACTGATCTAAGGTGCACAAGTCATATGCAGAGAGTTTCAGGCAATGAAGGAAACTCAGTATTTAAACTGCAGAAAGGAAAGCTATAAGAGATGTGGTAAGACTGGAGAGAACCTGCCACAGAGGTCAGGAAAAGGGGCTGGAAGCTGGATGCAGCTAGAGAGAAAGGGCAGGGATCTCTCTGAGCCTCACCTGGACTACAGCTGGGACAAAGCATTGCCTAAACAAAATCTTACTCCAGCCTGCATATAATTTCAGACCAAATTAAAGTGTTTCCTTCTTAATCTGCAATCCCTTGAGGCAGCTACTTAAGCTATAGCAATGCACACGTTAGGCTGCTTTTACTGTCAGCTTTGTGCCCTCACTGCCTCAGAAACCCAGAGCCTCTGAGCAGAAGTGTGGCTGGCTGGCTGACAAGCCCAGCTGGAGAAGCCAGCACACTTCAAGAGGACCTGGGGCTGTCAGACTCCACCTTGTCTCCTTGAATAAGACAAGCTAAGAATAATTGAGGATGAGATAAAAACTATGTAACAACAGTGACAACAAACTCCTGCTTAGCACAGACATGCTGGAAGCACTACATGAACATTCTGCACTGCAAACAACCAGGTTCATAATTAATTCCATCTCTGCTTTACAGATGGGGGGCTGTAGGGACCCTCTCAGTTCCTGGGGGTGATTCCACAGACCTCTCACTCTGTCTAAATGAAAGGCTTTGGAGTTTATGTACTTATTGTTAAGGTATGAAACAGAAGACAAATACTGTTCCCTCAAGAAGCTCAGTCCTGTAATTCTGCCTCTGATAAGCAGCAGGAAGTGCTTTGAGCAAAACATCTTGGGCAAACAAGAGAGTTGTGTCTGTGCAGAACAGGGGTATTATCAATATTTACAGCTAAGATGAGGCACGACTTTGATCAAACTGAAGCTCCAGCAATACTGAAGGCAGAGTCCTTCCCTTGTCCCAGCACACTGAGAGGGAAGGTGGCTTTACTGGAATCTTCCCTGGAATAAAGGTCAAAAGAAGGCTTTGGGGGGATCCTTATTAACTCCTTTTGAACTTGCTGAAAGCATAATATGTCACTTAGATTGGGCATAGCCTTTAGGAAAAGGCCAGAGGATGCCAG